AATCCCAGTGGCTTGGGAGGCTAAGACAGGAGGATCGTGAGTTCAGAGCCAGCCTCAGCAATGGCGAGATGCTAAGCAACTCGGTAAAACCTGTCTCTAAATAAAATACAAAATAGGGCTGGGGATGTGGCTCCGTGGTTGAGTGCCCCTGAGTTCAATCCCTGGAATCCCCAAAATAAAAACAAAGTACCCTGAGATTCTGTCTCATTCCAGTCAGAATGGCAATCATCAAGAATACAAGTAATAATAAATACTGTCAAGTGTATAGGGAAAAAGTGAACTCTTAAACTCTATTGGTGGGAATGTAAGTACCACAGCCACTATGGAAATCAGTATGAAGTTTCCTCAAAAATACTAAAAATAGGACTACCATATAATCCAGCTATACCACTCCTTGGTATTTATCCAAAAGAATTAAAGTCAACATACTTTAGAGGTTTATGTATATCCATATCTATCACAACACAATTCACAATAGCCAAGTTAAAGAATTAGTCTAGGTGTCAGTCAATAGATGAATAGAAAAGCAAATGTGGTATGTATATGCAATGAAATTTTATTCATCTATCAAGAAGAACAAAATTATGTGATGTACAGGAAAACAGATGGAACTGGAGAATATTATGTTAAGTGAAGTAAGCCATTCTCAGAAAGATAAGTACTGTAGGTCTTCCCTCATATGTGGAAACAAGTTGGGAAAAAAGTATGTCATAAAAGTAGAAGGGAGATCAATAGGGTAGAAGAAGGGGACTGGGGGAATGAGGAAGGGAGGTATTGAGGAATAAAATTGATCAAATTATATGCATGTACCAATATGTCACAATGAAATTCACCATTCTGTATAATTAATATGTACTAATAAAGAAGAAGTTTGGGATTTTCAGATTAGGGTTATTCAACCAATAAAGTCTATGCAAATATTCCCAAATCCAAAAACTCCAAAATCTGAAACACTTCTGCTTCCAAGCATTTCAGATAAGGGATACTCAACTTGTAATTTAAAAATTGCTATGGCTTGCTTTACAGCCCAGTACATGATTTTTTAAAAAATATTTAATGTGTGTTTGAGGAAAATGTAAATTTATTCTACATCTTGAATGTGGAACTCAAGTTTATTTGTTGTGTGTAATTATTGTTTTTAATTTGGGGACCTATTTGACCTATTGAGAGAAACAGTATTAGAGAGCAATCCTTAGATTTGATTTTATTTTATGGCGTTGTGGATCAAGCCCAGGGCCTCATACATGCTAGGCAGGTGCTCTACCACTGAGCTATATATTCATAACCCCTCTCCTTATATTTAAATTCATCACTTCCGGGGGTATAGAAGGGAAGCAATTGCCCTGGTTAGTCTTTACCTGCTTTCCTAGCTTTACATCCAGCACAGTATTTCTTCCCTGCCCTGAAATACTTCCAAGGAAGTCTGGATTGGAGGTCTACATCAGAGGTGGTGTGCAGGAAGCAAGAGCAGAAATCCCAGAAGTTCCTTTTATATTTTATCCTCCCACACATTTGTGTAAGGGTTGGTCATGGTTTTCCCCTTTATTAGTGGGTTCCTTTCTTGGTATGTTTGGGGTTGATCTTGGGCAATGGAACAAGCAACTATATTAATTCATCATCTTGTTGGAGACCAAACTGAAACACTATACCTTTCTTTTTGTGGGTCACCTGTAAAATCCTGGAAATGGAATTGGTTGAATATTTCTACAGTAAACCTGTGTTACCTTCTGTATTTTTTCATTTCTGTTTATGGCACTACTAGCATCCAATCACATGAACCAGAGCAATGTTTTGTCAAGCCTGTAGGTGGGGATAATAGAAAATATTTGGGAGCATAGCATAAATTAATGGTAAGTATTATTTTGTAAAACTTATTTCATTGGTATGTATACATTCACAAGTACTCATAAGTCTGGCTACTTTTTTTTCTAGTGCTGGGGATCGAAACCAGGGCCTTGTACCTGCTAGGCAAGTGCTCTACTGCTAAAGTATGTCCCCAGCCCACAAATATGGATAAGTCCACATGCTGGGCTGTGCTGAAGAATGTATTAATGTGTGTTATAATGTAGAAGCACTGAACCAGGGAAGTATCATTTCCCTAAGAAGAATCTTTTTTTCCCACTTTCTTCTGCCTTACCTCCCTTAGCCATTAAATTACCAAATCTGCTGATTTTGTTTCTTCAATAATTCTCATCTTCATCCCATCCTCCTGTTCCTAACTACTACTCTAGTTCCAGCTCTTTCTCTATCAGCCTCTCAGATTCATGCTTCACAATCTCTTATTCTTAACAGAGTAATTTAACTGAAATGTAAATTGAGCTTATTTAATTCCTTCTCTGGTTCCCTATTTCCCGTGGATAAATTATGAGATTTATAATGTGACCCTGCCTACCTCTTTGGCTTCATTCACTATTATTCCATTGATGCTGATAACACCAGACCAGTTTTCTCCCTGCTTTCTGAAGAATTTTACTTTGTTAATTCTGTTTATTTTGTCTGGCATGGGAAGTGGGGGAATCCTTTATTTCCATCTCTTTTTTTCTGGTAAACTGTATCTTATTCATATTCACTCATTCATTCATTCATCTCTCTCTTTCTCCCTCCCCACTCCCACTTCTTTCTCCCTCCTAACCTCTCCCATACTGGAGCTTAAATCCAGGGGCACTTAACCACTGAGCCACATCCCCAGCCCCATTTTTTTTTTTAGAAGGGTCTCACTAAATTGCCCAGGCTGGCCTCCAATTTGTGATCCTCTTCCTCAGCCTCCTGGGTTGCTGGGATTACAGGTATGTGCTACCATGCCTGGATTATTCATTCTCACTTTGTACAGGAAATCTTCTACCCCACTAGGTTCCTCCTTTGTGTTTCCAGAATATTCTCAGAACCTCTTATTAGAATTGACAGGTTGTTTTAAATTTATTTAGGTAAGTATTTACTTCCTTTATGGAAAGAGCTGGTCATATTCACTTAGTGTCTAAAGCAATGCCTGGCTCATATTGGGTGTTCAATGTTGGTTGAGTGACTGAATATCCAGAAAATTAAAGTGACTTTTTCAAGATCATTTGCTTATAGGTTACAAAACTGAACTGGAAAACAAGTACCTCTTTTATTGTCTCATGCTATAGACAAATGCTCCTCCTAATATATTATGTAAACCTGGATAAATACAGTATTTATTGTACATTACTGAATAAATCACTTTAAGCTACTTTGCTAATGACTAGGATGATTATAATTTGCTTTGTAAATAATGAAATTCTTATATACTGTATTGGAGCTTGTTTCTGGTACATTTTTCATGAAATTTATATGTTCACAAACAGTTCAAACTAGACTAAAAATTATTTGGAAGAAATAAGAATGGTCTTTTAGGTGAAAAAATGTGTGTGTGTGTGTGTGTGTGTGTGTGTGTGTGTGTGTGTGTGTGTATAAAATTTGTATGTTGTATGGTGCTAGAGATCAAACCCAGGGTCTTGAATATGCTGAGTACACACTGTATCACTGAGGTATATTCCCAGTCCCAGTGACATTCTGATAGCTCAGGTAGATAAAAAATTGTGACACATTCCAGGCATGTTATTTAAAAGATTATTTGAGCTAGAATGCCTGAGGATGGAAATGGCAAAATTTGGAAAATTACACTGTAGGAGTAGCTCAATAAATGTATGAATCAAATTTGTATTTATAAGCACCAGCATATGATTCTTGTGCTCTTAGGTTCTTCCAATTTCTGTAGCATACATATTGCAGATATCAGTTGGTGATACTAAGATACAAAAACTAAGACCAATTTGTGGAAGGATAGGGAAAGTTATTTCAATCTGGGTTTATTTCCAATTTCAGATTTCTTTAAAGAAATAGAAATTATAGTACAACTATAGTACAAAATAAAAAATGTGGGGAAAAGTAGAAGTTATAAAGGTGATGCATCAGAAAAAGCAAAAGCATCATAAAGCTGAAATAGTATATTCTGATGTTCTGATTATGATAAATGCGTAGAAAAAACAGATGCATAGGATATGAGTTGAATTTTTTTGTAGTGCTGGGGATTAAACCTGAGCCCTTGAGTATGCTAGGCAAGCACTCTACCACTGAGTCACATTCCCAGCCCATGAACTGAATTTTTAAAAAATATATTCTTGAACTTTGTACTCCATGTAAATTTTTTGGTTATATAGATTCCAAATATACTAAAAGTCTATTGATAATAATGATGATATGGATGTCACCTGGGTTAACTCATAGAAGGTTCAAACCATAATGTCATAGAGGCTGCCCTTTAACTTGAATTCTCAGAAACACAATCTGATGGCAGAGAGAAAGTGGATTTATCTCCTGGGAAGTTATATTAACCAAGATCATAAGTTATATATAATGAGAGCTGTAGTTGCTAAAGGAACCAGACACTTGATTCCTCTAGGTATATATTTTCTTCCTATAGTGTTGTATACTAGCCTAATAATTTTAAAACATTTCAATTTTTTAATTGATGGCTCTTTTCACCCATAAAGAACCACAATGCTATTATCACACCTAACAAAATGAAAATTTCTGTTTTTCATTTCTTTTTTTAAAAAAATTTATTGGTGCATTATAATTACACATAATAGTGGGATTCATTTTACCATATTCATACATGCACATAATTTGATCAGTTTTATTCCCCAATACCTTCCCTTTCTCTCCTTTCCTTCCCCATCTACTAGTTCTTCTCATCTCCCATTATTTATTATTATTATTTTAGTGCAATGCAATTATATGTATAAGCAGGATTCACTGTAGTTATGTTCATACACAGACACATAGCATGATTTAGTAGATTTTGTTCCCCAGTACTTCCCCATGCCCTCTCCTCCTGCCTCCTTCTTGATCCCCTTTCTCTACTCTATTATTCTTTCTTCTGTTTTTGTGAGATCCTCTCCCTCCCAACACCCAAGAGAGGAAAACATTCAATTCTTGACTTTCTGAATCTGGCTTATTTCACTTAGCATCATGTTCTCAAAAATAGGGAATGCCTCACAAATTTGTGTGACTTCCTTGTGCAGGGCCCATGCTAATATTTTCTTTATTATTCCCATTTCAGTATCTGTACTGCCAAAGTGAGTACTGATAAATTCTTTAATATTACCTAATATGCTCTATATATGTGAGTGTGAATTTCCCCAGTTTTCTAAAAAAAGTATTTTTACAGATGATATGCTTGAAACTGGATCCAAACAATGTCTACACATTATATTTGGTAGATATGCCCTTGTGCCTTTATCTATAAGGGTTTCCTTTCCCTTTTCCCTCCTTTCTTGTGTTTTTCCCTCATTCGGAGGGAAAAAATGTCCTATTTATTTTCTTACTATATTACAAAGTCAAGGAGATTAGGAACTTATATTTTAGCACTGAGAGCTGTGCCTGGCACCCCATAGACATTTAATTGATTTTTGTTGAGTAATATTAATAATATTTCAAGTCTGTGTTTTATCCCTGCAGGTTGATCCAAAAGACTACATGTTCAGTGGACTGAAAGATGAAACAGTAGGTCGCTTACCTGGGAAAGTGGCAGGACAGCAGTTTCTTATTCAAGACTGTGAGAACTGTAACATCTACATTTTTGATCATTCTGCTACAATTACCATTGATGACTGTACTAACTGCATAATTTTTTTGGGACCTGTGAAAGGCAGTGTGTTTTTCCGGAATTGTAGAGATTGCAAGTGCACATTAGCCTGCCAACAATTTCGCGTGCGGGATTGTAGAAAGCTGGAAGTCTTTTTGTGCTGTGCCACTCAACCCATTATTGAGTCTTCTACCAATATCAAGTTTGGCTGTTTTCAGTGGTACTACCCTGAATTAGCTTTCCAGTTCAAAGATGCAGGGCTAAGTATTTTCAATAATACATGGAGTAACATTCATGACTTTACACCTGTATCAGGAGAGCTCAACTGGAGCCTTCTTCCAGAAGATGCTGCGGTTCAGGACTATGTTCCTGTACCTACTACTGAAGAGCTCAAAGCTGTTCGCGTTTCCACAGAAGCCAACAAAAGCATCGTTCCAATATCCCGGGGTCAGAGACAGAAGAGCAGTGATGAATCATGCTTAGTGGTATTATTTGCTGGTGATTATACTATCGCAAATGCCAGGAAACTAATTGATGAGGTAAGGAGAGAAAAGAAAAATAGACATACACCTGGGCAGAAACACACCACTCTGGAGAACTTCCATTCTTTTCAAATTGGCTATTAGAAATACCGGCAACCCCCAAGTTACAGTCCTCTGTCCCACCTCTGCAAGACTTGTCTGTAAGCAGGTTACTTGGTCTTCAAAATACGTTCCTAGAGAAAAAAAATTCTTAAAAATGTAATTCAATTTGGTAAACATTTATTAAGTGCTGATTATGTAAAAAGTTAGTCTGTTGCCATATTTCATTGACTACATGATGCATATTTGTTTTCCACATTTTTGCATATCTTAAATGCATCTTATAATTGATGGCAACTTAGATATAATGAAATGTAGTATATGCTGAAAAAGGAGATACACAGGCAAAATTATCTGTCCTCAAAGAATTTCCATTCTTGGGGCTGGGGATATAGCTCAGTTGGTAGAATGCTTGCCTCACATGCACAAGGCCCTTTATTTGATCCCCAGCACCACAAAAAAGAAAAAAAAAGAGAATTTCCACTCTTTAGAATGAATGATTTCCACAAAAGTTCACAAAAGTAGTAAATAATAAAATATGGACTTTTATAATTTAGTTTGAAAATTTATTTGGAGTTTTAATTGGTTAGGGAGTGGAAAAGACATTTAGGAATACAACATTTGGATCCTTTGAGAGCAACTTTCACATCATGCTCCTTAGATTCTATTGCCTTATTGCCCTAGAAGGAAGGTAGGTATGGAAGACAAGATGAGTCTGGGATGACAAAGGTTTTAGGAATATGAACAGCAGCTCTTGGTGAGCTCCTGAGTAGAGAAGCTTGAAAAGCTCATGAGCTTTCACCTGAAAAATAATTAGGATGTAGAAGTCAGGGGCTACAGAAGCAGCAGTTCCATCATTGGGTATTCTGTTAGGGAGTGGCAATAGGATATATTGAATATCCATTAATCAGAAGTCCTTTAGGAGGGCTCTATTTTAATTCAGTAATCAAATTCCAAAAGCAGAAATGAAAGGAAAATTCATGGAGTCTCTTTAAAGGAATTAAAAAAGAACATAGCAAAGGGAATAATTTTAGGGAAAAAAGTAAAAATGACTGCCTCTCTTTAGCTGTACATCTACAATGTAGAAAACCCATGCTTGAAATCCATAAAGTATACCTGAGGCATAGTTTTCAAAACAATAGAAGTCAAATTGCGATTTAAAAACTTTGATATTTTATTTTGTGCTGATGCCAATCTGATAAAAGCATTCTATGAATCTGAAAAGATATAGAAAAATGTGCTTCTGGCCTTTAAACTATCTAGTCACATGTTAATCTAACATCTGACAAGTAAATGTTTTCATTGTACTATATAGTTATTTTTTTAACAATCTACATACAGTTTTCAAAACAGTAATTATTTAGGATTAACATCTTTTGGGTAGGAAATCAGAAATGTAGATAAAGAATATTTAACATGCTTAAAGAAAAAAGCCATCAAACAGTCTCTATGAGTCATCAGATGTTCTTAACTGTTTGATCTTTGGTATCTGATTATGAAATGACAAAGTGTTATGTACCCTCCAAAGGAATATGACTAGGAAGAGAGTGATGCAGATATTTTTCCTGGAATACAAATTAAAAATTCCACTGTGATAATCATAATAAGAGCTAATGCTTACATAGTGTTTACTATATGCCAGCCACTGTTATAAGAGATTTAAATAAATCAACTCGGTGTTCAAAACAACCCTATGAAATAGCTGCTATTATTCCCCATTTGACTGACAAGAAAAAATCAACCATAGAGAGGGTAAGTAACTTTTTTAGGCTATAGTCTTAATCCTTAAACATGATGCTATTATGCTGCCTCAGTAGTAAAGGAAAGTTGATAAATGCCTGATGGAATAGAAATATGACCCAAAGTGCATGGACTCAAGGGTCCTCCAACCTAGGGATTGTTTGGCTAGAGTTATCTAATTCTTAAAGTAAGGAATAAAAGAGAAAAATAAGAAAGAAAAATAAAATGCCAAGTACATGTGAAGAGAATAGAAAAACATGCTGAAAGACAAATGACCTGTATATTATATTAAGAGAGATTACATATTTTTAAAAATGAAGTTTGAGTTCCTTGGGAAATATATATAGAACACAAATTCTGGCATAAAAAAAACTTAAGTTTTTCTCATAACACAAATATATTAGGATAACATAGACTAGAAATGTGATTGCAAACCCTAGTTTTGTTAAAACCCAGGAATATCACAAAATTTTATTTCACATTTCTTTTATAAATTAAACATCACAATGGGTGGGTTTTTTTTCTGTATAAAAGTTGAGAAGGTAGAAATTCTGGGAAGGCTGGTCTAAGCAGAAAGCACATTCCATAAGGAGTCAAGATAAGTTACTGAGTCTTGGTTTTCTCAACTAAAAGTTTTCTTACTTGCTCTTATATACATCACGGATATGTACAGAATGAATTTGAGTAAGAGTAGTTTAAATTATTAGAAAGAATTTCATAATTGAAGTTGGTTAGTTACCAGTATTTTTTAATATCTTTATTTTACATTTATTATGTGGTGCTGAGGATCAAACCCAGTGCTTTGTGCATGCTAGGCGAGCGCTCTACCACTGAGCCACAACCCCAACCCTATTACCACTATTTTCAAGTCCTGAAAAGTAGAAGAATTTTCATGAAAAGGGGTCTCTTCAAGTATCTCCAGTGAAATATTAAAATAGATACAGTTTCATAGCTCATTATTTGGTTTAGAAAAATGATATTTTGAATTAATCATAATTTTGTCAGTGTGCATATGACTGTAAAAATGATAGGTGATGAGCAGTCTAGAAAATTAAAAACTGGTTGAATTGTTTCTGATGTTTTAAGCAGCTTTATAGTCATCATCTGGTAATGATGTACATGTAATTTCCTGCAATTATTAAGTGTATGTTCCTCTTTTTCTGAGATAGCATTAATCTGAGATACGATTCAAGTTTGATCCAGTTTGGTAGAATGGTATGGAATAATGTAGTTATAGGATGAAATACTATCAGACATTAACATTGATTTTATAGTAGAGTAGCTGAAAAATGTTCACAATCAAGTATGTAAAATTTTGTGAAATATTATGTAAGTAACTGATTTAAAAAAATAAGTGTGGAAAGTTATACATATTAAAATATTGACAGTTGTGGTTATTCTTAGCAAGTTGGTTAAGAGCAGGGTTTTCCATTTTTTTGTAGTTCTCTGGATTTTACAAAGAACATGTGTTAATATTGTAATGGGGGAATGGGAGAAAAAGAAAACTAGGAGGGTAAGAAATCTGTATACCTATATGGCAAGTGCACCTTGATTGATATTTCTTTGTTTCTGTTATTTATTTTCAAATTTTATGCTGAGCATATGTATTATTTTTTATTATTAAAAACCCAGTAAGCTTGTCTAGTGGTTGTAATGACCTTGCCTTTTTTAAACTTACTTTCACAATTATTTTTAAAATTAATATGTACACATTGTAGTGAACCATAGAAATAAAAATGAGTTAAAAATAAGTTTAAAAATCATCCATAACTGTACTATACCTTGAATAGTCTTTTTAGGAATAAGTTTTAGAATTATTTAACCTGTAGTTACATGAAGTGGGTCAAATCACAGCTGTGTTTTAATTTGGCACATTTCTTAACCTCTCTGTGCCTTAGTTATCATCTGTACAATGATACTAGTAATGGTACCAATCTCATTAGAGAATTAATGTTATATATGTAAAGTGCATAAAACTCTTTGGTACATAGAAATGTGACCTATCATTATTGAGCTATACTGTATAAATTTGGATTATGCCTTTTAAGATTGACATTATTATACAAGATTTCCCCCATCATATTAAAATATCTTTGTTTTGTTGGGGGGGGGCGCTACTAGGGACTGAATCCAGGGCTTTGCGTATGCTAGGCAACTGCTCTGCCACTGAGCTATATTACCAGCCCTCTTTGTTATATTTAATGAACTATGATAAATGAAATGAACTATGGTATTTCATCACGTAAATAAATGTACATAATTTACTTAATGGGTCTCTTCTCATTGGAAATTTGCTGTATCACCAAAGTAAAACTTCTATTTATTAGATTCAATTTAAAAGTTAATTATGTTTTAAATTGAGGGACAATTCATATTTATTTGACTCTTAATCAGCAGTAGGCATTACAGTTTCAATTCTTAACCAGACCACCCATCTGGAATAAGGAATCTTGTGTGTGTGAGAACTTGTTACAGCAAATACACTGAATTAGAGTCATAACTGTGTTGCATTTTATACAGAAAAATTCTACAATAGGAAAACATTGTTGTAATCTCAGAAGTTCAATTTAAAATCTAAATGAAATTTTATTTTCCACAGATGGTTGGTAAACACTTTTTCCTAGTTCAGACAAAGGAAGTGTCCATGAAACCTGAGGATGCTCAAAGGGTTTTTCGGGAAAAAGCACCTGACTTCTTTCCTCTTCTGAACAAAGGTACCTTCCAGATGATTAGTGTACTTTTGTGGTTATTTTCTTGACCTCAGATTTGATTTACTCTTAACATTTCTCTTACATTGCCTTCTTTTTCTCATTTGTTCTATGTTTTTTCCTGGTACTGTTCAGAAATGTCAAATTTTCACATCATTCAAGAAGCCCTACATAAGTGACTAGAAATTGGGCATTAGTTTTTTCCCTGTTCTATGTTCTTAGTATTTAAGAGTCACATGTTATTATGTATTTTGTTACTTTTAGTTTGTCAAAGATGTACTTTGATCATACTGAAAAATAAATAAGAAATATAATAAAGTGTTATAGTATTTAATGTGCTTAATATAATTAATTTCCCATGTAGAAAGTTAATGCTATCAATAATTTTAGATACTGGATATGTCTAAAAGGAATTGGAGTTTATATGCCCTCTGGAAGGGTTGATGTCTGCCTATCTGTATTTGGAGTTATACTGATTCTACAGGACAGAGTATTATTTATCTGCTCAGAACAGGGACATTGTCTGCTCAAAGTACATCAGGATTTTCTTGACTGGCATGAGCAAATATTAATAGTGATATGCAGTGCTTATTGGTGTACCTTAAAGAGAGAGCACATCTACATTTATATGTTCTTTATGTTTAAATAAATTATAACATACTACAAAAATCTGTGTGAAAATGTTGGAGGACTGTTAGAATAAATTTCGTAAGTAATGCTGGGTGTTATTCAGCTATTAAATATTAACTCAGGGGCTGGGGCTGTATGTAGCTCAGTGGCAGAGCGCTTGCCCAGCATGCATGAGGCACTGTGTTCTATCCTCAGCACCATATAAAAATAAAAAACAAATAAAATAAAGGCATTCTGTCCATCTACAACTATAAAAAATTAACTCAGCATTTCATATATTTGTAAATATATATATTATATATATACTTATAAATCTTAGAGTAAATTAGTGATAACCATGTTTATATACACGTGTGTATTTGTATATAAAATTATGACCTGGCCCCAATAATGCAAAAATTTTGACACGGGAACCTTCAAATGGAACCTTAAAAATGAACCTTTAAACTCTTAACAGCTTCCAGAAATGAAATGACATAATAAGTGGACATCCTCAAGTGTGAGGGTTAGGAATAAAGTGAACATATGGGTAGGTCTAAATTAATGATTTATGTATTTTTGTGATGTTAGTGAAGTCGTATCATAGAAATGCTCTAATCCAAATAATAATATCTGCATCTAAATAACAGAATGTTCCACATGGAAGTGGTAAAATGTCCTGTTGCTGCAAAAAGTAGAACTAAAGTGAATGAGCAGATGTTATAGAAATTTCAGGAAATAAACATGGACAGATCTTTAAAACCATAGTTGCCCATAGGAAGTACTTAAAAACTAATGTGGTCATGTCACAAGGTCACAAAAGCCAACTTGAAGGAGGAGTTTTCAATGATCAATTTTGGTGACAATTTGGCCATCTAAAAGAATAGCGGGTTGGAGGTGTAGGTCAGTGGTAGAGTAGTTGAGTGCTTACCTAGCAGTGTGAGGCCCTGGGTTCAATCCCAGTACCAAAAAAGTGAAGATACTAACTTAACAATAAAAGAAATCCATGCATCCATGGTGATAAAAAAGGAGAGGGAATAAAGGAACAGTCATCTATTTACAGGATATTGTGAGCTAATGGATGTAGAAGAAATGATGTATACTTTGGAAATCACCATTTTTCCACCTCAATGTAATAATTATTTCACACAAAGATTATCAGTGGATGCTAAAATTATGGGAGGGGAGTTGCTAAGAAATAGGATATTTATACATTCTGATTCAAAGGGGGAAATCTTACAGCAAAGATTTGATGATCACCTTGTTAAAGTAGTGATCAAAAGTAACATCAGTGATGAACAGTTTCACATTATGTTTTCCCTGATGTAATGCAATGAAAAATACATCACATCACCTGGGAAGTGTTCTTGCCAAAAGACTTGGGAGGTTAAAAAAAGACTTAACTTCTAGTTTATGGGAAGGAAAGGAAATAAGTTAAATGATACCATGAGGAAACAAATTAGACAAATCAAAAACAAGACATTCTGCAAGACAACTAGTTGTTTCTTTAGACAGTGTCATGGAAAACAAAAATATGGAGGAACTCTTCTAGATTAAAGATTCTAAACATAACAACTGAATGCAATGAGTGAACCTTGATTGGATCTTGGATTGGGGTGGGTGGGCTATAATGCTATAAAAGGCATTTTGGGGACACCTGAGGAAATTTGAAGATGGGATGGGATTATTATTAATTTCTGTAGGTATGTCACTTTTCCTTAAATGATGGTAATTGTGGTTATATAGCAGATGCAGGCTGTGTCATGATGTCAGTAAAACAAAACAAAGCATTTGTGTGCACATGGTATACAGCATGTAATAGAGCAAATGTGGCCAAATTTTGATTTTTGGAGGGTGTAGGGGGAAGGCAAATGAATATTTATGTTCTTCTTTAAACTCTTGTACAATGCATGAAATTATTAAAAATTACAAGTTGGGGAAAATTTTTAAGCTGCCTAATTGGAAGAGTGAGCATGCTGTCAGGGTCCTTATATTAGTCATTCTGAGACAGAGTTCTCGATCTTGGCATTGTTGACATTTTAGGCCTCCTACTTCTGTTATGGGTGGCTATCCTGTACACTATAAGATGTTCAGGAACATTTCTGGCCTCAAACCACTAGATATTAGTAGTTCCAGTTGTGGCATCCAAAGTGTTTCCAGACATTACCAAATGTCCTCTAGGGGGCAAAATTGCTCCCAGTTGAGAACCACTGTTCTAAGAGTGAACTTTTTAAAAAATTCACTTTTATCTTAGTTTGTACCTCAGAGTCTCTAAATTTTCCTCTTCATTTAAAGTAGTCACCATTATTTATTTTTATTTAATGAATTATTGTTTTTGTTTTGTTTTTTGGTGCCAGGGATTGAATCAAGGGGTGCTTAACCACTGCGACACATCCCTAGCCCTATGTATTTTTGTGGTTTTTTTGAGAATTTTTTAATATTTATTTTTTAGTTTTCGGTGGACACAACATCTTTGCTTGTATGTGGTGCTGAGGATCGAACCCGGGCAGCACGCATGCCAGGCGAGCGCACTACCGCTTGAGCCACATCCCCAGCCCTAGCCCTATGTATTTTGAGACAAGGTCTCACTAAGTTGTGGAGGCTGGTCTTGAGCTTGGCATACTCTTGCCTCAGCCTCCTGTGTTGCTGGGAATACAGACGTGTGCCACCATGCCTAGCTTTTTAAATAAAGCTTTTTGACCCAAATAAGATAATTCATTATTCTTCATTTTGAGAATTTTCCAAACCCAAAAAATCCTCAGAACTATCTAGGGTGCTTTTAAAGATATAAATGTCTAACTTCCACCTCAAAAAGAATGATTCAAAAATCTCTGAGACATACCTTTAGAATCTGAATGTTTAAGTTCCCAGATGGTTCTGAAAACTAATTAGATTTGGGTTCCTTTGTTTTAGAGTCATTCATTCAACAAACATAGTAGATGAGGTCTGAGAAGTAGCAGAGGAACTAGATGATGTAAGAACTTCTAGGCACCATAGAGATTTTGCATTCTAGTCTCAATGATGTGAAAAGCTACTGGGCATTTTTATTTGTGGGTTTTTTTTGTCTTTTTAAAATGAACTTTTATAATGAAATGATTTTAGGATTCCGGATAAATTATAAAGCTAGCACAGAGAGTTTCTGTATAACCTTTGCCTGGCTCTGTCTAATGTTAACATGGCCATGTTATATTCGTCAAAACTAAGAAATTTATATCAGTAAAATGCTGTTTAACTTCAACTATAGAATTTATTCAGATTTCACCAATTTTTCTACTTACGTCATTTTTCAGTTTCAGAATTCAGTTCAGGATCCCACACTGTTTTTATTTGCTGTGCCTCGTTAATCTCCTCCAGTCTCTGATAGTTCCTCAGTCTGTCCTTTTTTATAACCTTGACTTTTTTGAGCAGTTCTGGTCAATTATTTTGAGGAATGTCCCTCAACTTGGGTTTGATGTTTTGTCTACTTAAACCAGAGTTATGGGTTTTGGAGAGGAGGCGAAGTGCCCTTGTTTACCTATAACATCATGGGGCATAGGATATCAATATGAGGTGGTATCTGCCAGGTTTCTCCTCTGAAAAGTTTTTGTTTCTCTTCCATCTTTAGTCTTTGGAAGTGAATCACTAAGACTAGCCTAAACACAAGGAGAGAATTAAGCTCCACCTTCTGGAGGAAGCAGTATCCATATACATTATTTGTAATTCTTCTGTAAGAGATTTGTTCTTTCTCCCCCATTCATTTATTCAACAGTTTTTTTTCTATCAGTATTGACTCATGGCTATGTATTTTATTGTTTGGTTATAATCCAATATTATCAAGTTGTTCCAGTTTTAACCATAAGGAGCTTTTCTGGGTTGACTTCTCTGTCCCTTTGACATATTCCTATCCTTTTGATTTTTTAATGCTTCTTTACCTTCTTGCTCTAGAAGATATTCCAAGCTCATCCTGCATTTTCTTTGTCCTAGAAATAATGTCACCCATTTCTCTAAGGAACCCTGATGACTTGTATTTTAGAATGGTTGGAAACCAAGATCTGGGTGTTAGATGTACCCATTACTCCTGGGATACCACTGGTTCTAGGCCTTTTCAATGCACAGAAGTAGAAAATACATGTTTGATTATTAACCCATATATACATAATATCTATAATTAGTTCTTTTATCTATCTGTATATACATTCAAATATCTTTGACCCTATTCCAGCACCACAGGGTTCATCCTAGCCTCTCTTCTTGTATCTTACTCAAAGTGAATTATTTGGCTCCCATTATCTATAATTTAGTCATGCATTTGTTTGTCCCTAGCATACATAAAATGTAGTTTTAGAGTTACTAACCCATAACCTTGTGAGAAATTTATTTACCAACTAGAGTGCAATGGTCTTAAAGTAACCACTCAA